GATGGGGCAGGAGAGGGGCAGGGGACGCCCCGCCCTCACGGGGAGGTGGCCCGACCCCAGGCTGCCCAGAGTGGGCGTGGGCATGGTGGGTCCTCATGACTTTCAGGGTCTATTTGAGTTTTGGGGTGTACTTGAGTTCCGGAGTCTGTTTCCTTCAACCCTGAGTTTCTGAGCATCCAGTGAGGTACTGGCTGCCACAGGACAGGTGGGAAATGACCATCCCAGGACCCTGGGGCCTCTGCTCTCCCACCCCTGTGCTCGGTGCTCAGCGCCTGTCCTCTGCGTGCCTGCCTGGGGGGCCGGGTCTCCTACCTGCTTCTCTCCCAGGAGACTCTGGCCCGGCCTCAGATTCCTTACCTGTGCCCCCCCCCCATCGAGTTGGGCTTTTGTGTGATGAGGCGAGACATGTCTGTCATGCAGGGTGGGTTCCCTGGATCCAGGGGGTGTCCAGGGCAAGGATCCCCCCTCCTGATGAAAAGTCCCAGATTACAGTGTTTCTGGGCCCTCTTGTCTGCACACAGGAGACCCCGAATTGGGGGCACAGCCGTAGGGTTGGTCCTCGTCTCCTTGGAGTGGGGGTCCTTGGCAGAGGCCAGCTCCCTTGCTTCCTGGAGCGGGGGCTGCCCAGACACCCCCGTGGGGGCAGCCCCTGCCCGCGGGCCCCACCCAGCAGCCTCCTCCCTCTGGCCCCATCCTTCGAGTGTCCGGCCCTGTGTGTGAACACGCGTGTGCACGCTGGTCTGGGGAGACAGCAGTGAGAGCCCTTGGCCGGCAGGCAGCAGACGCGGCTGCCCTGTGATTCGGTTGAGAAGTGCTGACCCTGGGGAACAGACTTGGGTGCCCTGAGGACCAGCGCAGTGCACGGGCTGCCCACGTGGGGGGCGGTTCTGACCCCCCTCTCCTCCACCCAGTGCCAGGTTCCCAGCCCGCAGGGGCCACCTCGTGCAGGTGTGTGGAGGAGTGGACGGGTGGGATGGCCTGTGGGGGCTGCCTGGCCCTGGTCCTGGCGGGGGAGGGAGTCAGGGGCATCGCTCTGCTCTGGCGACACAGTGAGGACCTGCCGGCCCGGCCCCTCCCAGAGCTGCTGCACGCCCCCGCCTGGCCTCGGAGGCAGGCCTGGTGCCCGCGGCCCGGACCCTGCTGGGAAGGCCACCCGCTGGCTTCCTCACCCCGACCGCTCCAGGCCCTCCTCGGGTCGAGCGCAGGAGCCCTGCACCCACATGCACCCACACGCACCCACACGCAGGCACACGTGGGCGCCGCGGGCCGGGCGTGTCCTAATTAGCCCGCTCTCTGGGGAGCTCTTACTGAAAACAAAACAAACCGAAAAAGTGCTGGTTTTGCCTGGGTCCCTGCCTGCTGCCAAGTGGGTATCGCCCGGGGCCTCAGGGGCTCCTGGCTCTGCAGGACCCCCACACCCCACCCAGGGCTCTCGGGTGGCCCTGCCGGGCCTCTGCCCGCCGTCCGGCTTCAGTCTGCAGTCCAGGCAGGGCTGGCGCATCAAAGCCCCCAGCCGCTCGGGAGAAAGTGCGGGGAGCTCCCTGTGGGCGGGGCGGACCAGAGAGGCCGCCACGCTCCCGGATGCATGGTCCCCCTCTGGGCTGGAGCCCGGGCCACACAGACGGGACAGGGACCTGTGCCACACCTCCTGGGGTTCGGGCGGAGGCTTCCCCGGGGAAGCGGGACCCGCAGAGGGAGCAGCACCCCCCGGATGGGGCCTCCTCAGGGTGCCGGGGCCAGGCCCCCTTCCGGGCACCTCCACGGGGCGGGGCTGCCGGGCTGCTGTTGGGGGCACCATGCATGGTGCTTTTGGCATCTCACCGGGCCTGCCGGCTGGGGGGAGCTGCTACCTCCCACTTTGGGGGCCGCTGGGCGTAGGGATCCCATCCGCCGCTCGGTGCAGTGACTAATTCCCTGGCACCCACCGCGGATGGTAAAGAATGTGGACAAGTTAAAATCTGAACAGCGCTGTCGCGAGGCTGCCTCCCAGCTTCTTCTGAACAGAGTGGTGGGGGCCAGGCGGGGGGCAGACAGACCTGGAGCCCCCCGCTGGGCTGTCCCCCATCAGGGATGCATCTGAGGTCGGGACACCCAAAGACTACCCGAAGCTCTCGGGCAGCCCAGGACCCCACCCAGCAGGCGCTGGGCTGCCACCTGGAAGTCAGACTCCGGGGGGAGGTGGTGGGCAGGCTGGGACCCCCCTCCCCACCCCAGCACCTACCAGGCTCTCCGGCCCTTTGGGGTGGGCAGGGACAGCACGCAGCTGGTCCTTGGCCCTGGGGGACCTGCTAACCACAGTGACAATGCAGGGACTGCCACCCACGCTGGCCTGCGGACACTGGGACCCGGCCCAGCCTGCCCGGGGGAGATGGAGTCGGAGCCTTGTGGCTGGTTTTGCATGTCCTGCAGCCACATTGAAAAAGGGGGAGAGAAACAGGTGGGAAGAATTTACCTGATTTATTCCGAACCACGCTCGTGTCCGTACGTCACCGGCACGGAATGGTGAACAGGAGCCTGAGTTTTACGTTTTTTTTGTGGACTAAGGCCTTGGAATCAGGGTGCCCCCACCCCCACCATAGCTCCATTCACACTGGCCCCGTTTAACATGAATGTGGGGCCAGCCTGTGGCTGCCCTATGGGGCGGTCCCAGTGTGGGGACGGTCCGTGCCAGCAGCACCGTCCTCGTGGGGCCTGCATTTCCGCGTGGCAGACGGAAACTGCAGGGCCACAGAAGCAGTGGGCTCCCCTCGGGGGGCTGGGGGACACGGGGCCCCGCCTGCATCTTCTGGGAGGGGCGCGGGCCCCTGTCCCAGCGGCCGGGCCGGAATAGGGAGGACCGTCCCTCTGCTCCGTGGAAAACGGCTTCATTGAGTTGCAGTTGATTTTGCGTCCCGCACACAACTCGCCCGTCTCACGCACAGGCTCAGGGGTCTTCAGTCCGCTCCCGGATCTGTGTGCCCAGCCTGCGTTTCAGAGCCTCTCAGCACCCCCAGAGGAAACCCTGCACCCCTTGGCTGCCACCTGTGCCACCTGCCGCCTGTGCCCGGTTCTGCGGACCTGCCCTCCTGGGCCCCGGGGGCCCGAGCAGTGCCGGAGCGATGGTCAGCTTCCCCCGCTGGACAGCGTCCGCGGGTCCCCAGACCTAGCACTCACCAGCTATTCATTTTGTTTTCCTGGTGAGGGAGGGATGCTCCATCAAAACCCACTGTACTTTGTCCATTCACCCCTTGGTGTGTGCTCCCCCCGTTCTACAGGCGAAGGCACAGGAAGGTAGGGGGGCTGTGGGGGGGCCGCCAGAGTGAGGTCCCCACTGGTGGATGGGTTCCTGGGTTTACAGCACCAAGATCCACGCGGGAAGGCAGCGGGAGCTGGGTCCTTGGAGGGAAGCACCTGCCTGGGCTCCAGGAGGCACGGAGTGGGGGGGTCGTGGCCTTGGGAAGAACCCGTCACCTGGCACCTGCCTCCCCCTTTGCATCCTCTGAGTTTCCTTTGAGCTGGGAGGGCTCTGGAGGAGCATTTTCCCCACTGAAAAACTCCCTCCCCGGGCCAGGCGTGGGCGTGGGGCTCCGAGGACCTTGTCGGGGACACACAGGGATGTGTGCCCTCAGTGGGCTGAGGTGTGGGCGCTCAGGGTAGGAAGCCGAGTCCCCCTTGGATGGAGAAGAAGATGGGGGTGCAGAGAGGGTGGAGCCCGGGCTGGGAGAGGCTGGGAGAGGCTCTCTCTTTTGTCTTTGCATCCTCGGGAGGCAAGGAGGGCGCCACCTTCTCTGAAGAGGGGTGCGGGGCGCAGGGGCCCCTGCCCTTGCTGCCCAGTCTGGCTCTGCCCCCCGATGGGGACCCCGGGCCCTGCTCCCGCCACACTAAAGCCCCCCATCTCCATGGGCCCCAAGGTTCCTGCTCACCACCTCGTGGATGTCTGGTTCCCCTGGTTGTCCCCCAGGGCCACTGTCACTGTCATGGCCTCAGTTGCCTCATTGGTCAGACCCCAGGCCAGCAGACAGTCCACTCGGACCTGAGGGCCATCCAGGAGCTCTGTCAGCGTCTGCGGTCAGTGGCCACCTGCTTGGCCAGCGCTGTGTTCCCCTACACACCCGCCGCTGCCCAGAGCTTCCAGATCGGGGTGGGTGGGGATGGGGTCTTCCTGCCCGCCCCCCAGGTGGGATCTGATTTGAGGCACCGCAGAGGGGGCAGGGGCCCCTCCCTCACTAATCCCCCCTTAAGTCCCAGGTGGGGTCTGATCTGTCCCTGATCCCTGGACCCCACAGGGGTGAGCCAGGGGACACAGCCACATAGTGCGGCCCTGTTCCTTTGGTGTGTGGCCCTGGGGAGGAGCTGGTGCCAGTGTCTGGGATGGGCAGAGGGTGTGGACGGCCACCAAGCACAGCTGGAGAAATGGCTGTGTGGAGGGTGGGCAGAGGGTGTGGAGGCCACTCTGCCGCAGAAGGAGGCAGCCCGGTGACAGGGGCCCGGCGGTCGGCCCCCACCCCAGCCCCACCACCCACGTGGCTGGACCTCAGAGCCAGATCTGGTCCCCCAGGGCCTTGGGCAGCCGCTGCATGTACCCTGCATGAGGACGGGGGCGCCCTCTGCCCCAGCCCTGTGGCTCCCACTGCCCAGGCCCGCAGGCTGGGGTCTCCCCACCTGAGCTGTTTTGGGGGAGGCTGCCCTGGCAGGTGCTGGCCCTAGACAGTCCGGCCAAAGCAAAGGGGGCATCAGGGCTGGGGGCCACCCCTCGGGCAGCCGGCTCCAGCTGTGGGCCCCGAGCCCCGGAGCCCTGGCACTGGGAGGCTGATGGAGGGAGGACGAGGTGACTATGTCAGCTCATCCCCGCACAAGCAGTGACCTGTCAGAGTGGGAGGGGGGCACCGAAGAAACGTTTGGGATGACGGAGCGGCTGGCCCTTTAAGGCTGTCCTGTAACAGGACACCTCCCCGTCGGGCAGGGCGCTCTCCAGGCTGACTGTGGGTCTGTCTCCCCTCTCTCCTCCCACTTCCCGCCAGGCCCAGTTCAATCTGCTGAGCAGCACCATGGACCAGATGAGCGGCCGGGCGGCCTCGGCCAGCCCCTACACCCCAGAGCACGCGGCCAGCGTGCCCACTCACTCCCCGTACGCGCAGCCCAGCTCCACCTTCGACGCCATGTCGCCCGCCCCTGTCATCCCCTCCAACGCCGACTACCCCGGTCCCCACCACTTTGATGTCACCTTCCAGCAGTCCAGCACAGCCAAGTCGGCCACCTGGACGGTGAGTCGTGGCCCCCGCCCCCTGCACCCAGCGGGCACCTGCGGGGCGAGGGACAGGGAGCAGGTGTGTCCTGGGCTCGAGGGAGGCTGAGCTGCCCGGCTGTCCAGCTGTCCACACAGGGCTCTGCTGGCCCGGCCGCCCCACCGGGAGGAGCATGGGGCAGGAGGCGTGTCTCGGGCTGGGCAGTCTGTGCGTGCCCACTCCTCGGATGTGGGGCCAGAGTGAGCCAGCCCCCTGGGGGGCCCCAGAGGGGATGGATGTGGCCCCCCAGTGTGGTCCACAGGGCAGGGGCTGACCCTCCTCATCAAGACTGCCAGGCTGGCGCTCCGGCAGTCAGATGCGGGCTCTGGTCTGAATCCCATCTTGGGTGGGCAGGTGGCGTGCGGCTCTGCCGCCCAGAGCTGTCTGAGGTGCAGTCCGCAGAGGCCGCCTCCCCCGGGCGGGGTGCAAGGCCGGCACGAGCGTCTGGTGGTTGGCGGACTGGGCTTGGCCCTCGTGCATGGTCGCTGGGCTGTCATCTCCGAGCACGAATGTGAGACAGGAGCCGGGGGTGGGGGGCGCAGCTCCGCAGATTTGAGGTCCCGCCATGGGGCTCGTGCCAACTCGGGTATCGACCCCTGGGCCTGTGGCCGCCGAGGGTCAGGACCTGGGCGCAGTCCCATTTCACAGCCAAGGAACCTGAGTCTCGGGAATGGAAAGTGGCTTGCATGGAGTGGTGCGGATGGTGGGTGAGGTGCTTGCACTGGAAGCCCAGGGCTGGGCTGCGGCTTGCGTTCCTAACTGCAGAGCCGCACTGTCCCTACTGAAGTTCCGGGAGGAGGGGGCTGCCAGCCACGGCTGCTGGGGTGAAGGCCACAGGGATGCGGAGACCTCCAGAGAGACCTCGGTGCACCTCCCAGGGTAGGGCACCCGGGGCGTTGGTGGGAGAGGCAGCCCCCAGACCCTCTGGGTCTCCTGCCTGCCTGCAAAGGGGAACAGTGACACCCGCCCTGGCTCCCACCCTGAGGACAGCTGGCAGTCCCTTGGGGCAGCACCACCGCCTCTGGGGAGCAGCCCGCACTTACCCCCACCTGGATATAGGACTCGCAGCAAAACGGTCCATTTAGGGTGACTGTTCTGCCCCGAGGGGAGCAGTGAGCAGGTAACCTCAGTGCTCTACCACTTTAAGAACCCACTGCCCTGCTGGCCGGGGCTGAGGTTTTTCCCACGCTCCTGGGGGGTGGGGAGATGGGGGAGGGGGTGGAGCCACAAGTACCCTGAGTCAGGCTCTGCAGGGGGTCCGTCTGGGGCCTGGGCCAGACCGTGGTGGCCCTGTGGCTGTCTCTGGTCCCTGCTCAGGCTGCGTTCTCCCCCAGGGGCTGGTCCCTGGCTGAGTTAAGGCCGAGAGGGGCAGGGACCTTGGTGACCCCTGTTGGTGGCCCCCATCTTCCTCATCTGTAAGTGACCACTCTCCCGCTCCTTACACAGAGTTTCAATCGGGCTTAAAGGAGACAGGCGGGCAGTACAATGGTGTCGGGTACAGTGGTGTTGAGCGAGAGAGTTGTCTTCATTTTTCCCCTTGGCCAGCGGGGCCGGACCTATGGGTGGGTTGTCTTGGTTCTCTGTTGCCTGCGGGGTCTGGGTCCTCACACCCCAACTCTGAGGTCTGGCTGGGTGATGGTTAGCCAGGTCAGGAGGCCACCATGGCATCCCCACACTTGCACACCTCTGGCGACGACGGGCTCACTACCGCTCCGATTCCACATTCAGACTTGTCTCTCCCTGAACCTTTCTCTCCCCTGCAAGGGGAAGGGTCATGGTCCCTGCCACACTGAATTTGTCATCAGGGCCCGATGCAGGCACTTTGGGGGTCCCAGCTCCCTTCCTGTCCTCTGCTTGAGGATGCTGGCGGGGTCTCTGCATGTCTGGGGGCTCCAAGAGCCTCAGGTGGCCTGGGCCAATACCAGGAGGGACAGGACCTGCCTCTTTGCTGGCTGCCCCTGCCATCTGGAGCCCTCTGCCACACCCCCATTGCCTCCACCGGGCTGTGGAGCTTCCGGCTTGGTCACAGGTCCCTTGGCCATAAGTGTCCTTGTAGGGGGGGTCTGCTCAGAATGGGGGCAGCCCACCAGCCACATCAGGGGCAGGGGAGACTCACCTGTGGGCCTGGGCTCTGCCTCCACACAGCACCCCACCCAGACTCCCGAGCAAGGGGTCCCCACCGTCCCTCCCTGCTGGGGCCTTCGGAGGCTCTCTGCTGCAGCAGCTGGGCTGAGGGGGAGGCTGCGGCTGCTGGGGCCCTGGTGCCCCCCCAGCCCCCATCGACGCAGGGGGTGGGGGTGGGACAAGCATCGATAATGAGATTTTTGGCACCTCAGGCGCCTGGGAGCAGACCCCCCGGCAGGCCCGTCTCCTGGCCCAGGAGGGTGGGCAGGACAGGACTGCCAGGCCGCCCACCGGCTCATGGTCCGGGGGCTGACGGCGTGGGCGCTGCCCAGGCTTGCTGCCGGGCTGCGCGCCGGCGGGTGGTAACTGATAGGTAACTCACATTTTTCTCAAGTGTAATTCCAAATGGACCGCCACCTTTGCGCTTCTTGCCACTCAGGAAACACGCCCGCGCCGGTCTCCAGGGGGACACAGCTGTTAATGGGGTCTTTGGCCTCTGCCCCGCCGGCTTCCCTCAGCCTTCAGGTCTCACGCCTGCGTTCCTGGGTGCTGGGGCCCTCTGTTCTCAGGTGTCCGTGTGCATGGGCGCACACCTGCACATGCAACACCATGCACACATGTAGCCGTGTGCGCACACATGCACTTGTGTGACACGCAGTGCACACATATGTGCATGCACAGGCACACGTGTGTGCGCGCACACACACATGCACACACCCATGCAGGCTTCTCTGGTCGCTGCCCAGGGTTCTGACCGCCCCCCACAGAGGCAGGAGAAGGGTCTCAGGCCACCATTGTTGGAGAAGTGGTTTGTGCTCCGGCTCAAGGAGAGAGCGGCCAGGGCCAAGGCCAGGGCCAGGGCTGGGCTGGGCTAGGCTGGAGTCGCTGTCCAGGTGGCTGCACAGGGGGCGGGGGTGGGGCACCCTGCTATGAGCAGCACTGGCTGAGGCTTGTCTGTTTGGGGGCCCATCTGGGCTGAGGGGAGACAGACCCTGTGAAAGACCGAGGTTTCAAGCGAAGCCCTTGGGCACTGCTGCTTCTTGGACCCGTGGGCGGTGGAGCCCGGTGTCTTTCTTTGTCCCTGTCCCACACTCTCCCTGGGACTCCCCCTGGGGCTGGCAGTGAAGGGGGTGGTGGTGACAGGGGTCCCAGGGAGCAGAGAGGGGAGCAGCACCCTAGACGGGTGTCCGGAAGCGATCTGGCCCAGCTCAGCCCTTGCCCGCTCCCAGGGCTGTGCTTGGTGTTCGGGAGGTTTGGGATGGGGCTCCGAGGTCAGACAGGAAGGCTTAGTGGGGCTGGAGTCCTAGCCCAGACTTGGGGACCCCTCTGGTGCTCCAAGCAGCCCTGCTGACAGCACCCAGGGGCAGGGCGAGGTCCTGCACAGTATGACAGCCCAGCCAGCCTGGGCGTCCAGTATGGACACAGCCCTCTGACCTCCAGCTGCCCCTGACCTGGCATGTGTGCACGTGTGTCTGTATGCGTGTGCGTGTGCATGTGTGTGTGTGTGTGTGTGTGTGTCCATCCACGGCACGGCACTGCGAGCCCGGCTGCGGGAGGAACACGTGGAAGGCGGCAGGAACTCGGCGTCCGGGTGGAAGGTGGCTGAGTCAACCCTAATGGATTCAGGAGGAAACTTTCCAGCCCCTCGGAGGCTCTCGGGCAGGAGAGCAACCGCGGAGGTGCCCCGACACGACCGCGGTGTCAGCTGCGCTCTCCCCGTAGTGTGTGGAATGCGGGAGTGGAATTAATGCCTCTTACTGGCACCGGGAGCAACTGGGGAAGCGTCCTCCAAGTGTTTATTGTGGAGATGAAACGTGGATTACTGGGGGGAACAGGCGCACCCCGGGAGAGTTCGCCGAAATTGTGGGCATTGTCTGAAGCTCTGTGGGCGGATGAGCTTCCTGCAGGCGGCCCCAGGCTGGGATCCGGGCCCCGGGGCTCCTTGTGGCCTGAGCCCGGGGTCACCCCTCCTCTCTCCACCCTCTGCCACAGCTGGGGCAGCCCCTGGGCCTGGAGGTCACAGCCTTCGAGCCCTGAGTGGGGCCGGGACATCTCAGACCCAGTCCCGGGGGGCGGCCCCACCTCACCCCCCTAGTTCTTGCAGGGGACACAAGGGACATCCCCTGGGAGACAGGAGTCAGTTCCGCAGGTTTGGGGCTGTGGGTGGGCTGCCGCAGGATCGAGCTCTTACGGAGAATTGTCTGTCTGCTGGGACGTGCTCTGGAGGGGAGCTAGGCCTGTGGCCCTGGGGAGAGGGTCCGCGGCAGTGACGGGAGCGTGGTGGAGCACCCCCCCCACCTCCACAGCCCAGGCGGCGCCCGGAGCGCCCTGGCCAACTGCTGCCCAGGTAGAGTTCGCCCCACTTTACGGATGAGGAAACCGAGGCTCATCCGTAAAGTCCCTGCACAAGTCCCTGCACAAGGTCACCGTCAGCAACGGGTGGGGCTACACTCTGCCCATCAGGACCTGGCTCAGCAGCCACACCCTCAGCAGGGGTCCCGGGTTTAGAAGCCAGAACTCTGCCTGCCCAGGGCTCCGCTGGGCACTGAGAAGGTTTGGAGAAAACCCTGACTGCACCCCACGGGGATTAAAAGCTGACAAACGACCACCCTGACCGCCCGGGGCATGCAGGCCCTGGGCTCAGGAAGGACCCGGGGCTCCTCTCTCGCTCGACGGGGGTGGAGCGTATATAAGGTGAAGCAACAGCTCTCACTGCCTCCTGTGCAGAAGGCGTGTCCTGCACTGGGTCCTGATCTGGGTACTGACCTGTAGCTACCGTGGCAGGAAGGCGGGAGGCGGGAGGCGGGAGGCGGGAGGCGGGAGGGCCCCCTCCCCAGGGCTCCCCACTGGAGCCCACCCAACAGCGCTCCCGAGAGGCCGCCCTGCGCTTCTGCCACAGCCCTGCCTCCCTCTCTCCCCTCCCCCGATCCCTGGTCCAGCACCAGCTGTGAGGCCGTCCATCCCGGAGGCGGCAGCACACGGGGTGAGGGCTGGCCCTGCAGTGCCTGCCGCCCTGGACCTGATGCCGGGGCCAGAGTTGTGTGCCATGGTCAGAGGCTCCGGGACTGTCCTACGAGCAGAGAGTACTGCTGACCCCAGCACCCTGCCAGGTGGGCGGGGCCTTAGATCACCAGGGTAGACAAGGCCAGGCCAGCTCAGGGGACAGGACTGAGGTGGTGGTGAGGGCCGGGAGCCCGTTCCCCAGCCCCCCGCCTGCGGCGGACAGAGCCAGGCAAGTCGCCAGCCCGGTGCGGGGCAGTCCTGTGGCCTGGCCCTCAGTCCAGCTCACCCCCCCTTGCCAGAGAGTTTCCCCCACAAGGCCCGAGGCAGACAAGGACCTCTGCCCTGCTGCGGAGAGCGCTGCAGGTCTCCCTGGCAGTCGGGGACGCCGTTCGTGGGCCACGAGCTGTATCAGGGCCTGACTGAGGCTGAGGGTCAAATGGCCACCTGTGCCCTTGGGCTGGGAGGGGTGGCTGCTGGTGGGGGTTCTGGGGCTTTGTGCCAGCCCCGCCCACCCCAGGACACAGATCACATTCAGTCACCCCTTCATCCTCCCCGGGGAAGCCACAGGATGGGCCTTTGCTCCCCACCACCGACCCGGGCCCAGGGCCTCTCTCCTGGGTCAGCGCTGCACACAGGCCTTAGCCCAGGACCCAACCCCACGGGTGCTCTTTGCCAGAGCAGCCCCGTGGGACCAGCCAGCCAAGGGTGGGTGCTGCCAGGCCGTGGGGGCCCCGCGGCTCCTGCTCGCCTGTTTGGGGCCTGGCTGCAGGCAGTCTGGGGTCAGCTGCCCGCTCCCAGGCCTGCTCTCCCCAGCGGGCAGCTTCTTGTCCATCGCCTCTGAGGGCTCCAGTGGACAGAGGCCGTTTCTGCGTCCTGTTCGCCCTCCTCTGGGCTTCCGGTCAGGGGACCCCGACCCTCAGCCTGCATGGGGCTGTGGGCAGACACACCTGTCTCCGCCCAGCCAGGTGCTCCTGAGGAGTCCCTGCCGCCTCTCAGGTCTTGCACGTCCATCATCGGGCCGGGCGCTGGCTCCACAGGCGTGCACGGCCCAGGCCGGTTCGGGGTGTGGCCTGCGGGATTCCTCGTGCGTGCGCTGAGGCAGGACGGGGTGGCTGTCACAGGAGCCCCACTTCCTCTCTGGCTGTGGCCCCGGCCCCGTGCTCCCAGCAGCTCCCCGCTGCGGGAGGACATAAGGATGGGGCAGCCAGCCCGGGCAGCGCAAGATGACAGTCCCCGGGAAGGGCGGAGGGGGTCTCCTGCCGGTTTCATCGCCTCGGGACCTCTCCTGCCCAGGGAGGAGGAGAAGGGCCCCTCACCTGGGGGACTGGTGGGGAGCGGGCGATCTGGGCTCCCTGCATGTCTCGGGGTGGCTCTGTGAACCCTGTGAACCCACAGGGCCAGGGGGTCCCGTGGAGCAGCCCATGGCCTGGGGCAGGTCCTCGAAGGGGCCCTGGCCCGAGAGAGGAGAGGAACGTGGCTCTGAACACGCGTGCACACGCGTACACACACACGAAAAGCAGATGAAAGTTGGCTCTAAAAAAATCATTTAAAAATAGGCGCCCCCCGCCGCAGCCCCATCTTCCAGAATCTGTTGTAACAGATTCGCCCGAGCTGGTTAACGGTATTTGCGGTTTGCAAGATGCTACACGTCCCTGGAAAATGACAGACACGTTATTATCACCTCTCCACTCTCCTCCTGCCCGGACCTGCCCGCGCCAGGCACCCAGCTGCTGAGCAGTGGGTGCGGGGAAATTAACAGCCGCCGCCGCGCCTCCCGCCACCCCTCGCCCACCGCCCCCGCTCAGCCCCAGCAGACCTGGGGCTCCCAGCCAGGCCGAGGCCCATCGTGAACTGGGGGGGAGGGGTCGGAGGAGGGAAGTGGGTGGGGGAGGGCAGGGTGGGCATACCCCAGCGTGTGGCAGGGCGGGCAAGTCTAGACGGCTCTGTGTCGAAAGCCGAGGATAAATAAGATTTTATCGGCTCAGAATATGTTGAAACACATCCATCTAGCGGTTCCGGGGAAGGAGAGGCGGATTGGAGGGCGGGGGAGGGAGTGTCTCCACGTGACCTTTTCTCCTGAACGGGCAAGGACCCCGGGCTCCTTCCTGCCAGGCTCCCTGAGCACCCAACCCCAAGCCCGGGGGCTTCTGGGAGGAGGGGGCCCCGGCGCGTGGGCGGGAGCTCAGGCCTGCCTCTCTGGGCCGCTCTGGGTCACACCCTGCCCCTGCCCCTGCCCCTGCCCCGGGCTTGGCCCTCCCAGGCTCCCTGACTCCCCCCACAGCTGCCCGTGTTCACACCTGATGCTCCAGGTAGGTGTGAGAACAGCAAGCACCTCGGCCCTTGCCTGGGTGGGGGCTGGCAGCTGTTAGTGCCTGAGGGCCACTCCAGCAGGCAGCCGGGGCAGCACCCGGCTGGAGAGCCACCCTGGGGAGCGGGGCCAGGCCCAAGGTTGGTGGCGGCCTCCTGCAGGAAGCAGGAGGGGGGCACCGGGCCACCGATTGCCCAGGTGCGGACCTGTCCCCCCCGGGCAGGCAGTTCCAAGCTTTCTTCCCCGCAGCTCCCGGAGAGGCAGACTCCTACCGGGAGGGCAGTACCAGGGACAGCTCCCCTTGGCTCCTCCCCGCTCCAGCTCCCCTCGGCTCCTCCAGAGCGCGTCCCAGTCCCCTCTGACCGCGGCTGCACTGTCTGTCCTGCATTTTCCTGGGGCCTCAGCTGGCGAGTCCAGACCCCACAACACCACTGGGCCCCCACCCCACGTGGGCTCAGCAGGAAGCTGCCCTGAGTCCCGTACCCCCTCCTCTCTGCCTGACTGCAGCTGCCTGGGAAGTAGGACCCAGGCTTCAGAGAGGGCAGCAGCGGGCTGGAGGGGTTTCGAAGCGGTGGCCACTGTTCAGACCCCGGGGCCGGTCAAGGAGCTGCAGGGAGGGACGCTCAGGGCACCTTCACTCAGCCACACCTGGGACCTGGCCCAGCCCTGGAGGAACCGGCTAAGGAACCCAGGCAGCCCCCTGCCCTGGGCCGCCCCGGGAGTTGTGTTGGGGCTGCCCAGGAATCGGCCCGCCGGGACCCTGGTCACTCCTGGCCTGCCCACTTCAGCCCACCTGGGACGCACCTTGGTGGGCGTAATGACCCCACCCAGGTCATGCCCTCCCACAGGGTGACAGGACTGATGGGCCTGTGGGTAGTCAGCGAGAGGAGACTGCAGGCCCACTTGCCCCTGGGCACCCACCGGCTCCTGTCCCCCCTTCTTGGCCAGGGTTTTCCACACACCTGGTTCTGACCTCACTTATGGGACACATCCCTGGAGGCGGGTCACCTGGGAAGGAAGAGTCCCATGCTCATCCAGTTCCCACCGTGATGGGGTCTCCAGGGGCACGCCCTCAGCAGGCTCCCAATTTGCCAAGGAGAGGAGACCCCGCCCACTTGTCCCTAACCCCCACTGGACCTCGCCCCAAAGATGGCGATACTTCAGGCAGGGAGAGACTGTCACACTGCCCGGTCCGAGGGCTGGGAGTGACCTGGGGACCCTCGCTCCTGGTCCCAGGTCGGCCCCACCTCCCCAGGTCTCCCCTGACTTCCTTTCCTGCACTTGGAGGTACAGGGGGTATGAGGCCCTGGAGGTCCACTTGATGGCCAGGGAAGCTGCTCTGGTGGCCAGTGGGGGCCTTATGTTTCGGGGTCAGGGTGTCAGGCCACCACTTCTGGGCAAAGATGGGCTGGGACCTGCTCCTTCTTGGCTCTGCCTGCGGCCCCCTCTCTTTGGTCTCAGGTTCCCTAGAGGCACGATGGGGACGCGTGACGGGGCACTCCCTGGGGCTGTGGCCGGGGTCACTCTGGGCTGCTGGGGGTTCAAGAAGGCATGGGGACACGAGGACAGGAAGTATACTGTGGCTCTTGGACCCGGAATGCCCCCCCCCCGCCCCAGGGAAGGGAGCGTGACCACCCCGCTGGTCCCCAGAGCCGTCGGGAGGTGGGCGGGCGCTCCAGCCGCCCGCAGCCTGAACTGCTGAGAGCCGTCCTGGGTCCTCTCGGGGTGCCCTGGACCCCCAGGAGCTGCGTGCTGGGGCGGGACGGCCGTCACCGATTCTTTCCACAGGGTCCCAGCAGGTGGCATCTGGGGCTTCGTGGTCGGTGACCCCCACACTTCAGTGGCCAAAACCGAGCCACTGCATACAGCCCCCGGCCTCTGTGGCCCGGGTCTCCCTCCCAGTGGGTGAGCACCCAGAGGCCCTGGTCCATCTAAAAGCAGCGTGTGTCCTGGGCGCCGATGAGGGGGCTCCGTGCTGCGAACCTCTGTGGTTGGGGGACAGGGGCCTGCGGTAGGGTGGGGTGGGGTGGGCTGAAGTTCACGGCGGAAAGAGCCCGACTCGAGGAGCTGGGGGGCCTGGCTCCCAGCCCCCACCCTCCAACAGCAACTTCTCCCTCCCCCGCCTTTTGGTCCTCGTCCCAAAGAGGGACACAAAGGAACCTACCTCTCCATGGTGATACCCACATTGAAAGTGTCTCGGTCTGGCTGCCGTGGGCACAAACCAGCCACCCGGCTGCTGCTGGCGAGGTCGGGGCACACTGGGGGAAGATGCTGGGAGGGGCAGGCCCGAGGGGGCTGCCATCAGGGAGCCGGGGGAGGGGACTCCTGACCCGGTGGACAGCCCGGCACTCCCCGCAGGGGCCAGCCTGCCAGGGTGTGGGCCGGGCCTGCAGCCTCATCCCCGCCCCCTCCCGTCCAGTACTCCCCGCTGCTGAAGAAGCTGTACTGCCAAATCGCCAAGACCTGCCCCATCCAGATCAAAGTGGCCACCCCGCCGCCCCCGGGCACCGCCGTCCGCGCCATGCCCATCTACAAGAAGGCGGAGCACGTGACCGAGGTGGTGAAGCGCTGCCCCAACCATGAGCTCGGGCGGGACTTCAACGAAGGTGAGGCCACCCGGCCCAGGGTGGGTGGGGGCGGTGCCCTGGGGGCGCTGGCAGTGGGTTCAACCTCCCCCCCACCCCCATCTCCCCCCAGCTTGGCTTGGGCCCCGAGTGCAGGTGCCGAGCAGAGCGGGGCAGCCTGACCTCGAGGCCGGGTGGGGGTGGGGGCGGGGGCGGGGGGCAGGCCTGTGGCCCCCAGTCTGTGTGCGGCCCCAGCACCCGGGGGGCCCGCACCTCCCTGAGGCGGCGCCCCCTCCTGGCAGGACAGCCCGCCCCGGCCAGCCACCTCATCCGCGTGGAGGGCAACAACCTCTCGCAGTACGTGGATGACCCCGTCACGGGCAGGCAGAGCGTCATGGTGCCCTATGAGCCCCCACAGGTAGGCCTGGCCAGGGGTGGGGGGACCAGGGCCCCCAGGGGACCCCCTTGTCTTCGCTCACCCTCGAGGCCCCGCCCCTGCCTCACCCTTGCCTGTGGACTTTCTCCGGCACTGGCTCCCCACCTGAGGCAGAGGGGCTGACAGCCTCTGAGCTCAGCCCTCACCTGTCCCCTCTTCCCACCCCCGTTCCCACTCACGGGACTCGAGGGTGGAGGGGCTGAGGCCCAGAGGACTGGAGTTCGGGGTAGGGGGTGGAGTGGCGGGCAAGACGGTCAGGGGGTGAGGGGTGACCAGTGCAAGTGGGGGGCCTGCCAGAGGCCAGCGGAGTGGAGGGACCCTGGGAGGTCTGCCCTTGACCTGAGGGTGGAAGCAGGCCCGGGGGGCCCAGCTGGGGGCAGAGGGGAGGGGCCAAGGGTGATGGTGGCGTGGGGGCCAGGACAGGGGGTGATCACCGAGCCCTCCCCTTTCCTCCACCTGGTTCTGAAACCACCCGTGAACCCCCAAAGCTAGGCCCGGCTCCCAGGATCCCTGGGCCTAAGACCAGCCCTTACCTCAGTGAGACCAGGGCATTGCAGGGGTGGGACCACCCTGCCCTGCCCTCCCTGCCCTGCCCTCCCTCCCCCTTCACCGGGCCCACCTTCGCTGTCTGGACAGCCAGGAAAGCAGGGCTCTTCCGCCCCCTGCTGGCCGTTCTGTGAAAGGCGAGGCTTCCCTGAGCTAGTGCGGGGCTTTTACCTCCTGACTTGGGGAGACCATGACGACTGCCGTGCCCCCTGGTCAGGAGTCCTCCACGCACCCCTGGGAAACCGGTGTGTGGGGGGCTGGGGTGGAGCAGGGCAGGGCTCCCTCCCACCCAGGAGAGACCATGCTGGGTGGACCCCCACCCACGCCCACTCCCCTGTGGCAGGGGAGCCGCCCGCAACCAGTTGGCTGCCCACTCCACCCCCCAGGGGCAGAGGCCGGTCCGAGCTCGCTCAGACCCCAGGCTCAGTGTTCTGCACGTGTGAACAGATGCAGGAGGGGTGGATGGACGGACGCACAGACGGATGAGGGATGGGAGACGGAAGGGTGGGTGGGTGGAGAGCGGGTGTGGCGATGAAAAGGGCCCCAGAGCATGGCCCAGCCCCCTAAGCCCACCCAGAGGCAGGACCTGATGTAAGAGACGGGGGCTTGGAAGGTCAGGAGCCCCCACTGTCGTGGGCTGGGCCCACACGCTGACACCACAGCTCCCCCCCCCACCGCTGCCCCCTGTAGGTGGGGACGGAGTTCACCACCATCCTCTACAACTTCATGTGCAACAGCAGTTGCGTGGGGGGCATGAACCGCCGGCCCATCCTAATCATCATCACCCTGGAGACCCGGGAGTGAGTCTGCGGTTGGAGGGGTGCGGGGCAAGGACTGGGGCAAGGACTGGGCCAGGGACCTGGTGCGGAGACAGGGAGGAGGAGGGCAGGGCCCAGTGCGGCCCGGGGGGGGGCTGCCAAGCGAGCTGCTGGGAGGGTGGGGGGCTACAGCGGCCGCCAGAGCAGAGCTGGGCCTTGGGGGGATTGGGGCGGACCTGGGGTCCCAGGGCAGCCGGGCACTCTGGCCTGGTCCCTGGTCATGTCACAGCCGGAGGTGGGCGGGGAGGTGGGGAGGGAGGGCAGGGCCGGGGGTCGGAGGCTCAGGGTTCCGGCTGTGCTCCCGGACAGTGGGCAGGTGCTGGGCCGCCGGTCCTTCGAGGGCCGCATCTGTGCCTGTCCTGGCCGAGACCGCAAGGCGGACGAGGACCACTACCGCGAGCAGCAGGCCCTGAACGAGAGCGCGGCGAAGAGCGGCGCCCCCAGCAAGCGCGGTGAGAGCACGGGCGTGGAGGGCGGCCCCGGAGGGTCAGCGCCGGCCGGCTGCCCTGCAGGACGTGGGGGAAACGCTGGCAGGGTGCCCATGTCCAGGGCGGAGAGGCCACCTCACCAGCCTGGCCACCCCAGGTCCACTCCACGTAGCCTGGGGACAACCGGTCTCTCGTTGCCTCACATGGGGTGGTGGGTGCCCGCTGGCTTTATCCGCGTTGTCCGCCTCTCCCTGCCGCTCACACGGCCTTCCCCCCCCGCCCCCCGGCCTCCCAGCCTTCAAGCAGAGCCCCCCTGCCATCCCCGCCCTGGGCGCCAGCGTGAAGAAGAGGCGGCATGGGGACGAGGACATGTACTACATGCATGTGAGTGTCCGGGGTCTGCAGGGCCCAGGCCCAGGCCCCACTGGGAGCGGGCGGAGCCGCCTGTCACACGTTGAGCCCTGAGCCCTGAGCCCTGACCCCTGAGCCCCTGGGCTCTACAGGCGGCAGGTCTCAGAGGGAGAGCCGGGTCCCAGAGAGCCAGGCCCCACGGGGCCCGGACGGCAGGGAGGCTGGGCTGTGTGGAGTCAGGGGCTTCCCACGCCCCCACTGGGCGTTCACACAGCATGCGGGACCTCCCAGGTCCTGGGGGCGAGGGCGGGGCGGGCATCAGGAACCCCACTTCTGGAGTCTGGCAGGCCACCTCCCTGTCACGGGATGTGACCCTGGCAGTTGGTGGACCAAACCACTGTGTGTATGGCCAGGACTGGCCTTCCACGCGAGCTTTTTACATTTGAGTCAGAACGAGCTCCTCATTCTAAACTCCCCTACTTGCTGAATTTCTTGTCCCTGAACCCCGAGTGTGCCAAGTGCTGGGGAAGGGAGAGGGGACGGCGGGGACAGCGGGGAGGCTCAGGGGCTGGAAGGGGTGGGCATGGGCGTGTGGACAGAGGACACCTGTCCCCCGCTCTGGAGAAAGAGGAAAGAAGGGGCCTGCGGGTGCCGGGGAGCCCGCGAGGCTGTGGGCCCGGGGTCCCCGGGGCTCCCACCAGGGGCCCCCAGGCAGAGGCCCGCCTCCCTGTGCTCAGGTGCGGGGCCGGGAGAACTTCGAGATCCTGATGAAGGTCAAGGAGAGCCTGGAGCTGATGGAGCTGGTGCCCCAGCAGGTGGTGGACTCCTACCGGCAGCAGCAGCAGCAGCAGCTCCTCCAGAGGCCGTGAGTGCAGCCCCCGCGCACAGGACACCAGGCCCCCGCGGCGTCCCCTCCCGTGGGGGGCCTTCCTTAACTGCCGGGGTCACGACCATCAAGGGGCTCCCCTAAACGTCTCCCGAGTGGAGGGCGAGGGGGCCCCCCCGCAGTGGCGTGAGTGCCCTGCCCCCACCCGCCGGCTCCTGAGAGCAGGCTGGGCACCACGGCCTGGGTGGAGCGGCGGGGGGCGGGGGGCGGGGGGAGGTGCTCCGACACCTCAGCTCAGGGTCAGGGGCCGCATGGAGGTGCCTGGGGGGCGGGGCAGGAGGCTGCCTCCTGGGCCCTCTCCAGTACGGCTGTCGCTGTCCCGGCAGGAGCCACCTGCAGCCGCCGTCCTACGGGCCGGTCCTCTCGCCCATGAACAAGGTGCATGGGGGCGTCAACAAGCTGCCCTCAGTCAACCAGCTGGTGGGCCAGCCGCCCCCGCACAGCTCGGGGGCCGGGCCCAACGTGGGGCCCATGGGTGAGTCGCAGTGGGGACCGGGGTGGGCGGGGGAGGCCCAGATGCTGGGCCTGGCTCCAGACACGTCTGTCCACTCAAGACCCGCCCGAGGGGCTCTTGGTGGCTGCCTCCCTCCCTCCCGCCCTCCCTCCCGTAGGCCTGGCCCATGGCAGGAAGGGCGCCTCTGCCGTTCCCACTCCTGGGGGGTCGTGCCTTGCCTCTGACAGTCCCTCCCGACTCTTGGCAGGCCCCGGGATACTGCCCAACCACGGCCACGCCCTGCCGGCCAACGGGGAGATGAACGGCAGCCACGGCTCCCAGCCCCTGGTCCCGGGGACCCACTGCACCCCGCCTCCCCCCTACCACGCGGACCCCAGCCTGGTCAGGTATGTGGGCTGCGGCCAGGCCCTGCCCCTAACCCACTGGCCTCGGCCCCTTGGTGGCTGTTGGTCCACAGGCCGGAGGCTGGGGGCAGTCTCCGCCAGCGCCTGGCCTTCCCCTGCCTGTCACTCTGCTGCCACCTGGGGGTGAACAGAGGCAGAGAAAGTGTGTGTGTGGGGGTGCGGCTGATGCTGGGAGGTGGGGGAGCACGAAAGCTGGGGGGTCCTTGGAGGCTGCGCCGTGGTGGCCACGTGGGCAGGGGTGGGCAGGGGTGGGCAGGGGTGGGCAGGGGTGGCCAGGAGTCACCCTTCCGTACGCAGCGCCCCCCGCCGCCAGGCCACACGGCCGCCCCTCAGACGTGGGTGCTGTGTCATCTGGTGAATTCTCCCCGCAGTTTTTTAACGGGACTGGGGTGTCCGAACTGCATTGAGCACTTCACCTCCCAGGGGCTGCAGAGCGTCTACCACCTGCAGAACCTGACCATGGAGGTACGGTCCCCGCCGTCCCCGCGGTCCCCACCCGCCCCCACTGCAGGGAGCTCGGCTCCTCCCTCTGGGGAGGCTCTCTGGTCATGTCCTGTTCTCAAGGCTCGAGGAGGCGGCTGTGACATTTGGGAAACCCTTCTTCCCAAGCCCACCCACATCCTCACCTCTGGCTTTTGTGCCGAAGTCCCCCCATGAAGGGGGGCAGGCCCGGCTGTGCAGGCCCGGGCAGCTGGACTGGCCACGTGATGTCTGACCCCCAGCCGCCAGGCTGCCTGTGATGTGAGGGGGATGGACTCCTTCTAAGGCCCAGAGTTTCAGAAGGCAGAGGCTGGAGGGCCTTCTTGGAGCTGGTCTATCTCAGTGCCGCTCACCAGGGAGAAAGGGAGACTTGGAAGGGACGTGGGCTGTGGGCATCTGGACACAGCCATGGGTGAAACAGGAATGGGGGCTGGGCCCACTCCGGAGTGCCCTGGGTGGGCGGGCGCTGTCAGCGGGGGACTCCCAGGCCAGGGAGACACGGCTGCGGCCTGGATCCCTGGGGAGGGGGGGGTTCGGTGGCCCGGAGCCTTCTGCGGGGCCTGCCCCCAGCCTAGTGCCACAGACGACCAGGCCATGTGCTCAGAGGGTGGCCCTGACAGTGTCTGTGTGTCTACCAATGTCCCTGGGGACCCGATGCTGGACTGGCTCGGTGTTGACCCTTGCCTCGCCAGCATGACCTGTGTGCTCCGGGCGTGCTGGGAGCGTGGGTTGGGGGTAGGAACCGGGTCATCAGCTCTGGCCTCAAAGGGCTGGGGGGCAGGCGCCAGGTCCTCCAGGGCTGGGGGTGGAGGGTCTCCATGGGTCGCTGTGGCGGTGAACGGGGCCCAGGCCCCACGCAGCCCAGCAGTGACCCCTCTTGCACTAGCAGATGGGTCACCTCTCAGCTCTCTGGACATTGTCTGGGCCACCAGGCGGGGTGTGTCCAGATCAGCTGCACAGGGTGGGCACAGACTCCTGTCCTTGGAGCCCCTCCGAGCTGCTGTATTGCCCCCACCGTCAAGTTCCAGGATCAGGACGGGTGGTGGCCCCGCACATCAGGCTGCCCCTGGCCTCCCTGGTGGTCCTGGGGACTCCCCCCAGTCAGGTGCCCGGCTGGAGAGGAGGGGGCGTGGCCTGCAGCTCCACCTTTAACGGGGCTTTGGGGCGCCTGCCGCTTCTGCAGGATCTCGGGGCCCTGAAGATCCCGGACCAGTACCGGATGACCATCTGGAGAGGCCTGCAGGACCTGAAGCAAGGCCACGACTGCGGGGCTCAGCAGCTGATCCGCTCCAGCAGCAACGCCGCCACCATCTCCATCGGCAGCTCCGGGGAGCTGCAGCGGCAGCGCGTGATGGAGGCCGTGCACTTCCGCGTGCGCCACACCATCACCATCCCCAACCGCGGCATCCCTGGCGGCGCGGGGGGCGCGGGCCCCGATGAGTGGGCGGACTTTGGCTTCGACCTCCCGGACTGCAAGTCCCGCAGACAGTCCATCAAGGAGGAGTTCACGGAGGGGGAGGCCAACTGACCGCGGGAGGGCGCACCGGAGTGCGGGGAGCCGCGCCAGCGCCCCTGCGGGCTGCAGCCAGAGAAGCCTGGCTTTACCTCTTCCTTTTTGTCAAAAACTGCCCCTGGGGCTGTGCCCGGGAAAGGCCAAGTCCAGCCTTCCAGGGCCGGAGAGGCCGTGCAGGGAGGAGCTTGCGCGGCGCGCGGAGGGCCGGCGTCCCCGACCAGCCGGCCGACCCATCTCCTCCCTGCCTCATCTTCCTCGGGGACTCTGCTGCTCAGGCGAGAGCCTTGGGAATGACAGGACGGCCTCTGCTGACGGACTGCCAAATAGTATTCTTTGATGTCTTCTCATCTGGGTAGCAACGAGGAGCTTGGGGATTGTGTCCGAAACATTTATTTTCAGGGCGCTGCTCCAGACAGGCTCTGTCAAGGCTGGGCCCTCGGCTGGACTTGAGGGTCAGCCCATCCCTCACACACTTGACAACCAGTTCCACCCCCAGGGCAGCTGCCCTCCACCTCCTGGACTGGGAGGTGTTACCAAGTACTGGGTCCCTCCTAGGGGGCTTTTGGGCGATGCCCACCGGCCAAGGCCCCTGCCGGCATCACTGGCCAGTCACCACTCCTCGACGAGCATCTTAGCACACATGCAGAAAGACCCTTAAATGACAGGAAATTGTCAATATTTGATAAAATGATACCCTTTTCTACATGGTGGGTCAGCTTTTAAAAAAAAAATTAACTTTCCCTTCAGGATTCAACCTAGGCGTGTCCCAGGTCTATGGAAACAAACGGGGCTGCAAAAGCAAACCAGGTGGGGGTCCTGGTGTGGCTGGGTGGGATGAGACCCCCCCCACTGAGAGACTTCCATGGGAAACTCTCCTGTTCAAACGGTGCCCTTGTAAGCTGGGGGAGGAGCCACGGGAGAGCCCCTCCCCAGTGGAGAGAGCAGTGGGCTGGAAGGTCCACCTCTGGGCCTCGGAGGCGGGCTCTGTGCTGGAGGGGCCTCCTGTCCCCCATGGGGCTGCAGGAGGCAGGGGGTGGGGTCTGGCCTCTATGAGGGACCCCAAGGCACCCGTGGACTTGGCGGAGACAGCTCTTGATGCCCACTGAGGGGGCCCTTAGGAGCCTGGCTGCAGGGCAGCAAACAGAAGGCCACAGGGAAGGTGGGTGGCAGGGCTGAAGCAGGCGGGCGGGCGGGCGGGCGGGGGTCCTCTCCACTGTCCACTGTGGGGACTGAGACACCACCCTGTGGGCTGCCTGGTGTCCCCCAATCAGCCACTCTGTCCTTTTGCCGGGGTTCCGATGCATTGATCCTTCAACTCCGGGTGCTCCTCACTGCCACCCCAGAAGCAGGGAAGGCCCCCCAGGCCAGGGGAAGGTGGATACAGGGTCCGGAGTGCCCCTGGGGTTCGTTGGTTGCAGGACACCCCCTGCCCCTGGCCCCGGAAGGGGCCCTTCTGTGTGGAGCCGGGGAGGGTGTGCTCAGGAACTGAGCTCCGGCCCTCTCCTTGTGGAGGGGCAGGGGGAGCGGGGTTAAAGTGCCCATTTGTTCCATTTTCAGGCCCTTGGGAAGGCTGCTGGGGGGCGTACCTGGGGGAAGCTTGACCTCCGGGGCCCAGGGCTGTCCTGACGGGAACGACCCAGGCCAGAGCCACCCCCGTCCCAGACCCTCCAGCAGGGTGGCCCGCAGACCAGGACGTCATCACAGCAGGTTGCCCGCGCAGACAGCGCGAGTCCCGACGTGTTCAACAGCAGCGCTCTGGTGTCGACACTAGGAGTGGCTTCCTTCCCCACACGCTCCCCCGGGACCACGTATCAGGGTGGCCAGAACCTCAGGGCAACAGAACCAGCGTGTCCCAGCTGGCACCAGGCTTTGCCAGTTAGCGGCACTGGGGGGGGGGGGGGAGGCTGCTGTCTGCCCGGGGCACACCATGCCCACAGCTCGGTCTGAAGGCTGAGGGTCAGTCAGGACCAGACTCAGGCCGCAGGCTCCTGGGGGCTGGGCGCAGTGCCTCCCCATCTTGCACTCACAAGGCCCAGGGCGCCTGCTCCCGCCTTTTCCCGGATGGAGAAACTGGGGGTGGGAGGGCCACTGCTCGCCAGGTTGCTCGTGACTGGCTTCGGCTGGGTCCCCCCCGTGGGCATGGGACTGGGCTGCCGGGGAGCCGCCACCTCTCGTGGGTTTGGTTGGCCCCCCGACCCAGGACCCTGACATGCATGGATAGGAACGTCGTGTGTAACCTGTCTCGGAACATGCCACGCAGGCACCGCCCCTCTGTGACGGCCGCCAAGGCCCTGTGGTGCTATCGTGTTCGAGAGAACCCACCCGTCCACGCGGAATGCTCTTCCCTACGGTGTTCACACTCCGCCTCAGCTTCTCTGGGTGCTGTCCTCTTGGGGAAATGGGCTATTTTTTTTAGCTGTTTTGGTGGGGACTTTTGTTTTTGTAACGTAATAAAGCACATGGCCTGTGGCTGTCCCCCGAGTCAGTCAGACATGAAGACACGTCAGCCCCCGAGGGGCCGCCGCGCCCACGCTGGCCTGGGCCACCCCCTTTGGGTTCCCTGTGTTTTTGGTGAGGCGATGAACCCTGGCAACCCCCTCCCTCACGGGGGTGAGGGCTGTCCTTTCCCAGCAGAGCTGGCTAACCCCCCGGACTGCCCTTGGCCTTGGTGTGGCCATCCATGCCTCCAGGGGTTCGGGCCATAGCCCCCTTCCAAGCCCCTGAGGCCCCTAGAAAGGCCACACGAGCTGCCCTGGACCTGAGCTCACAAAGCCCCCCTGTGCTGGGCAGAGCTGAGCCCGTGAGTCAACTCAGGAAGACGAAGGGGGCGGGGCTTTCCCACGTGCCCTCTCAGAGCTGCCCCCCAGGACCCACCTTGGGGGGCGGAGCCGGATGTGCCCCACTCCCGTCATGGTGACAGGAACCCAAGTCACAAGTGGGCCAACAGCTCAGACCTGGACAGGAAACAAGGACTCAGGATGTTCGTCCAGAAAGGCACCGCCACACACAACACAGAAAACAGGGACCTTAAAAATGCCCTGGAGTGGCCATTGTGGCTGAGTTGGTTAGAATGTTGTGACCTGGAAGGTCACTGGTTCGATTCCCGGTCGGGGTTCATGCCTGGTTGGGGCCAGGTCCCTGGTTGAGGACGTGCGAGAGGCACCCATCAATTCTCTCCTTTCCCCCTGCCTGCTCCTCTCTGCAGAGTCAATAAAAGGAAATTCGTGCCCTTAGAGAATGAACTCAGGGACACCGGAGTCCAAGGGCAGCCTCAGCACCTCCAGCAACGGCTTTTTGAAAGCAGGATATGCAGAAAGGCAACTATTTTCAAACACACGATAGCACCTCCAGCAGGTTTGGTGAAACCCTGAGCAGAACCTGGGGGCAGGGTGGGTCTGCCATTTTGCCAGACCGTCCCCCGCATGTCACCGCCAAGGAGAGGGGACGAGGCCTGCTTCTGAGACGCCTCCCGCCCCCTGGGAAGGGAGCTGCGTCTCCCTCTTCCTGTCCCCAGGCACCACAGAGCAAGGCCGTGTTCAGCCCAGGACAAAAGTGGTTTGTTCATACGAAGTATTTACAATATTTCTTAGGGAACGGTGTGGATAATGTTCTCATGCAAAATAGTCAGAGTCAAGAGAAAATGGTTTGACTTTGAAACACTGTCCTAACGGCCTGAAGGCCGGTGACCCCCGCAGCCTGCTCTGCACTCAGGGCACCGGTACGCCGAGCCCAGCTCCTGCTCTGCCTGCCTCAAGGGGGGAGCCCCAGGTCCAGGCCCTGCCTCCGGCCTGCATTCTCCCAAAGACCTCTGCCGAGGGACCTCGGACGGAAGGGCGCTCCCCTCACCAGGCCCAGCTCTGCCCCCTGGCTCGGATGTGGCCCCCGAAACCCTGTTTCGGCGTTAAAGACACAGACTGAATTTCCCGTGGTGCCCCCTCCCTAGGCCCCCAGGATGACAACATCACTGAGGGTCCGCCTCTCGGCAACAGGCACACGGGGATGGGCCAGCAGCTCTCGGGCAGAGTCCCAGCTTCCGGCCTTGCAGCATCTCACAGGTCTTCTGCCTTGACCAGAGGCCACGATGGCTGTGTCCCCTGAGCCACCTGCCCCTTAGTGACCGAGGGAGGCTCTTTCCCTGGACAGACCGTTTACAGATTCAGGGCAAAAAACCGAGCCCCCAGTCCGAGCCACAGATGTCACCCCTTCAGTGCGGGGTGTGGAGAGGCCACAGGCCTTGGGGGCTGGTCCCGAGGGGGGGACAGAGGCAGCCCACCCACCTCCAACCCGGCCAGCGCTGCTGCCTGCTGGTGTCCAGCCTCCCCTGCCACCCTCTCCGAGGCCGCGGGCAGGGGTTCGGAAGGAGCCGTCGCTTTGCCTACATCAGGGCTAGAGGCGCTTCCTACGCTTCACCCAACAGGGCGGCATCACCCAGCCCTGGAGACGCACCCACGGGCCGCGGCTGAAGCACGGAGGATGCAGACGATGCTCACGCAGCCCAGACACCGGGAAGGCATGTCCACTGCGTGAGTGGCGTGTCCACAGCGCTGCCTCCAACCCGAGGGGCAGTGATGTTCTCGGAAAAGTCGGCACACGCCCAGTTCTTCCTCAGAACTTCGCCCACCTCTAAGGGGCCCAGCGGAGTCTCCGAAGAACTTTCCTCTACACGCCCGCCGGCGGTGCCCAGCCTGGGACTGTGACTGTCCAGTGGAGGGGCCTGGGGAACCACTGAAATGGGGGACCCCGACCCACTGCATCGAGGCCTGTTTCAGTCCTGTGCCATGGTGCGCTGTGACCACAGGGGTCTGAAATGGCACCTGGCATGAAGGAGGTCACCTCAAGGAAGGCAGGGTCCACGGAACCCATGGCCGTCATCAAGTGTGGAGACCTCAGCTCTCGCCGGGAAAGTGAAAGTAGGTAAGGAGTAAGGAAATAGTCTCTCGGCGCCCTCTGCCCACCAGGCACCGTGGAAAGGAAGAGCAGTGACAGGCTGTGACCCAGAGGCAGGGGGCTGGCCACCCCCAGACATGCCAGGTTAAGCCAGCTGGGGCGTGTTAAGTACCCACCATGCGAGTGGTGATGCCCCACAGGGCTCGGGGGACAGGTGTGGGCACCAAGGTGTGGACAGGGGCAGCCAGCTGCACTGGCTGATAGGAAAGGCAGGGGTCCGGTGGGATCGTCCTGGAGTTCCAGGTGCTATGTCCTCTCCACATGGACACCCGAGGACTGGGACCTGGTGTGGGAGGTGCCCAGAAAGATGGGGTGAGGGGTAGGGTGGCAGCTGACAGCACCCTGAAGGGCAGAGCAAGAGCCCCGCTGCAGAGCTGACGCCTGATGAGGGCGGCCTGGACCCGGGGGGTCGGCATGCCTGGTTGCGGGGATGAGGAAGCAGAGCCCAGGGGGAAGAGGGGGCCATGAGGACAGACAGCTAAGGGTGCAGCTGTAAGGACAAGGCAGGCAGCTGAAGGTCAGGGGCACAAGTCAGGAGGGACCCCTTGCTGAGATGGAGACACCAGCAGGTCCCTACGCGGTGACCTTCCCCTGCCGGAGCCCGGGCTCATTGTCCCAGTGGGCTGTGGGCTCCCACACATGCAGCTCCCCCACCAGCTGACGAGTTGGAGGAGCTGGGGTC